ACACACTGGAACATGATGAACACACTGGAACATGATGAACACACTGGAACATGATGAACACTGGAACATGATGAACACACTGGAACATGATGAACACTGGAACATGATGAAACACACTGGAACATGATGAACACTGAACATGATGAACACACTGGAACATGATGAACACTGGAACATGATGAACACACTGGAACATGATGAACACTGGAACATGATGAACACACTGGAACATGATGAACACTGGAACATGATGAACACACTGGAACATGATGAACACTGGAACATGATGAACACACTGGAACATGATGAACACACTGGAACATGATGAACACACTGGAACATGATGAACACACTGGAACATGATGAACACACGGGAACATGATGAACACACGGGAACATGATGAACACTCGGGAACATGATGAACACACTGGAACATGATGAACACACTGGAATATGATGAACACACTGGAACATGATGAACACACTGGAATATGATGAACACACTTGGAACATGATGAACACACTGGAACATGATGAACACACTGGAACATGATGAACATACTGGAATATGATGAACACACTGGAACATGATGAACACACTGGAATATGATGAACACACTGGAATATGATGAACACACGGGAACATGATGAACACACGGGAACATGATGAACACACTGGAACATGATGAACACTCGGGAACATGATGAACACTCGGGAACATGATGAACACTCGGGAACATGATGAACACTCGGGAACATGATGAACACACTGGAACATGATGAACACACTGGAATATGATGAACACACTGGAACATGATGAACACACTGGAATATGATGAACACACTGGAATATGATGAACACACTGGAACATGATGAACACTCGGGAACATGATGAACACACTGGAATATGATGAACACTCGGGAACATGATGAACGCACTGGAACATGATGAACACACTGGAACATGATGAACACACTGGAACATGATGAACACACTGGAATATGATGAACACTCGGGAACATGATGAACACTCGGGAACATGATGAACATACTGGAACATGATGAACACACTGGAACATGATGAACACACTGGAACATGATGAACACACTGGAACATGATGAACACACTGGAACATGATGAACACACTGGAATATGATGAACACACGGGAACATGATGAACACTCGGGAACATGATGAACACACTGGAACATGATGAACACACTGGAACATGATGAACACACTGGAACATGATGAACACTCGGGAACATGATGAACACACTGGAACATGATGAACACACGGGAACATGATGAACACACTGGAACATGATGAACACACGGGAACATGATGAACACACGGGAACATGAACACACGGGAACATGATGAACACACGGGAACATGAACACACTGGAACATGATGAACACAGGGGAACATGAACACACGGGAACATGATGAACACACGGGAACATGATGAACACACGGGAGCATGATGAGCACACGGGAACGTGATGAACACACGGGAACATGAACACAAGGGAACATGATGAACACACGGGTACATGATGAACACACTGGAACATTCGCCTCTGTTTCGAGTGAGAAAATGATGAACATGTTCATATTTCTCACCTATATAATAGGCTAGTAGTGCCTGTCAGCCAGCCTCGAGACACACACCAGTCGACTAACACCCAGGTACCTACTTACTGCTAGGTGAACAGGGAACAGCAGGAATCTTAGGAAACACTCCCTGATGTTTCCACATATACCGGGAATCGAACCACGGACCTGAGTATGTGAGCCTAGTGCACTACCAACCGAACCACAAGACACATTAATATTTACCCTTCACTTCTCTTATAATGAACATGCTGGAGAACATTTGTTGTTGGCTGCCGGCAGGTGAACTCCGTACGCTGTTATTATAGTCAATAACTTCCTTGATGTAAGCGAGTTTTTGTTCTTGGTGTCATATTTCCAACCTAAATACAAAGGTGAGTTATCACCCTGATGAAATGGTCTCTCTCTCTCTCTCTCTCTCTCTCTCTCTTTACACAGGGTTTGACAAGGTTGGGTTATATATATATATATATATATATATATATATATATATATATATATTTAATATATATATATATATATATATATATATATATATATATAATGTTATGTGTATTAGAGTGAGGATGACTTTTGTTTGAGTTAAATATATTGTCACTGGCCAGATGTGGCTGGAGATGAATATATCACTTGCTGCACTACTCATTAGTTTCTTGCTACATGTTTATTACGGTGATAGATGAGTGGAAAACACACACACACACACACACACACACACACTTGCCTCCTACATTTGTTGCTATTTTTATTTTTTAAGCAGACTGGGAGATCAACCCTCCATCACTCTCTGCACCAAGCTACCCAGACGGCATCTGTCTTTTTATCTAACTCACAAAACCTCCAGTGTCTCATTCTCTCTCTCTCTCTCCCTGCAGGTGTGGTCGTGGGCATGGCTTGCCCCCTGGGTTGCACACAGTGCTCAGAAATCAATGGGTGCTTGGCCTGTAAGCCACCTTTCTTCCTGCTGCTCAACCGGGAGGGCACCAGACAGACGGCTTTCTGCACCAGAGCTTGTCCCAGAGGGTTTTACAAACTCAAGAAAAAAAGGGAAAATGGTTTCTGTGCCAGTAAGTGTTGTGTAGTTCTCCTGTAGGTGGTGTTGAGAGAGAGAATTAATTATTATTATTATTATTGGTAAGACTGCTGACAGTATGTTAGGTATACACATGTAAGAGCAACTGAAAACATATCAAATGTGTTTCTCTCTCTAGCATATTATTATTATTATTATTATTATTATTATTATAATCAAAAGAAGCGCTAAACTTCTCTCTCTAGCAGCTTTATGAAGCCACAATAAGCTTCACAAAGCTGCAGAGCGAAACGTAGCCGCCTTAAATGGCTCTTCAGTGGCTCCTGAGTCCATCTACCTCACCCAGGAATCTTCCTTTCTCCGACTCTCCCAGAACACAAACATGGCAGCAAGTGTTGGTAGTAATGGCGGGGTGGATCATGGTATTTATTGTTTTACAACCAAAATAAGCATTACCATCAGTGCCATCACTGCTACCATAACCCCTTACCATCACCACTACCATCATTACTGTCATCACCACTACCATCAACACTGCCAGCACCACTACCATCACCACTACCATCACAACCACCATCACCACTACCATCACCACTGTCATCACCACTGCCATCACCACTACCGTCACCTCTACCGTCACCTCTACCATCACCACTACCATCACCACTACCATCATTACTGTCATCACCACTACCATCAACACTGCCAGCACCACTACCATCACCACTACCATCACAACCACCATCACCACTACCATCACTACTGTCATCACCACTGCCATCACCACTACTATCACCACTACCATCACCACTACCATCACCACTACCATCACCAATACCATTACTACTACCATCATCACTACCATCACCACTACCATCACAACCACCATCACCACTACCATCACTACTGTTATCACCACTGGCATCACCACTACTATCACCACTACCATCACCACTACCATCACCACTACCATCACCAATACCATTACTACTACCATCACCACTACCATCACCACTACCATCACCACTACCATCACTACTACCATCACCACTACCATCACCAGTAGACCTGCTGCAGTGCGCCTTCTGTCTTCTTGTTGTGTATGTATTAAATAGCAAGAGACATAAGATGGAATCTCGTGTATGAGTTCAAAGTCCCTAAGATCTTGCCTGTGTTTCAGAGTGCACCATGTAACTAAGATCCTGCCTGTGTTTCAGAGTGCACCATGTAACTAAGATCCTGCCTGTGTTTCAGAGTGCACCATGTAACTAAGATCCTGCCTGTGTTTCAGAGTGCACCATGTAACTAAGATCCTGCCTGTGTTTCAGAGTGCACCATGTAACTAAGATCCTGCCTGTGTTTCAGAGTGCACCATGTAACTAAGATCCTGCCTGTGTTTCAGAGTGCACCATGAGAGGGTGTGTGGAGTGCCTCGGGGTTCACTACTGCTCAGTGTGTCAAAAGGACTTCACCAATTTCTTCGGGAAGTGCATCACTCAACCTCCAGGTCAGTGAGGGTGAGACGTCGTATTGCCTACTGGAAGGGGCGCTAATTCCACCACAATAGACTTTAATCGAGGCAACGTTTCGCTCCGTGCAGAGCTTTGCCATGACTCGATGAAGCTCTGCGCGGGGCGAAATGTTGTCGTAATTAAAGCCTTGTTATCTGGCTGCTGGATCTTGGTATTCAATATCCCGCTAACATGTCTCTCTCTCACCTTCGCTTTCCCCAGCGACGGGGGAAGCTCTCTTGATATCCAGAGACTTTGGAGGCTAACCCACAGGCGCCCTCCCCACTCGCACCCCCTCTTTGTCCTTTCCCTTTCTCTTCCTTCCCTCGATGACCCGCACAAAACGAAGAACAAAAATCACAAAGCCAACACTGGGGGAACCACTGTCTGGGTCGCAGTGTAGGTTTTGGGTCACTGAATAACCGAGGCCTTGGGGCCGCCAGGCTAATACCAAACCACTGCCGGCAAGGCGTTAAAGATTCACTTCATGGGATGCTGAGGATTCCAAAACGTAGATTGATGGTAGAGAATTGTTTTGTCCAGTAAGAGGGTAGAAAACTACTAAACGTAACGGGGCTGTTCGACTGCCGTTATACAGCACGGGAATGAGTTGAAGGATCTCTAACCCCCTGCCCACGCCAGTATTTTTTTTTGTAGAATCTAAGGTCATTATTATTGATATTAATATAATTATTATTATAATTATATTATTATTATTATTATTATTATTATTATGTATTATTATTAATTATTATTATAATTATTATTAAATTGTGGTTTTTATTTTAATAATTGTTTTATTATTCGTGTGAGAATCGCCTTTCACTTTCCAGAGGAGGTGCCGTTGATCCTGTAAGTGCTCTTGAATTCCAGGGAATTTTGGGTAAATCATCCAATATAATATAATATAATATATATATATATATATTGTGGAGTACTGGTAATATAGGAGGGTATGTAGTGAATAGTGATTATGTGGTATAATGATATATTGTTATATATATATAGTAATATTATTGTGTAAACCGTAATAAACCCACACGGAACGAGTGATAATGATCAAAAACAACACTTGCACTAGGAGTAGCCAAGGAGGTCGAACAAACCCAATTAAACGCCACTGCTGTTTTTGGTTTTATGTTGGTTTGAGGGTGGCCCACTGCACCCCTAACAAGTTGGGTAAGAGCGAAAACGCATTGACGCTTTAAAGAGAGATGAGAAAAGACCACTAAGGAGACCAATACAGTCATATTAAATAAAAAAAGAAACTAACAGCCAACTATCGCATCCAACCGGGGAAGCGAAGCGCATATCCAGCCAATAGCTAGATGGTTGTTACCCAATGAGGGAAACCCCGTAACCGCAATTGACTACCGATAAGAAGGAGACGCCCCAGGACCCACCCTCACAACAAACTACCTAATCCCACTGACCACCACTCCACCACGCCTACCCCCCCCCCACTCCCGTTCCCACCCAAGACCCCCCTCCACCGTATGTATAGTCCTTGGCGGGGTTTTCCTCTGGGGCCTCTGTAAACTACTAGATTTCAATCTACAAAAAGGAAAGGAGCACATCCTAGCATGGCATGATGTACGGCCATTGTCACCGAATGTGGTGGAGCTAGAGGTCTAAAGCGCGTCATGCTTTTTTCCGTCCGCGCGTGATTACCCATTGAAGTGGGGCCAAAACAGCATGGGTTTCTAACTCCCCTTGGCTAGTGCAGGTGTTGTTCTTGATATAATATATATATATAATCATATTTATATAATTTATAGTTAATTAAAGGAATTTAGGTAAATTAGATCAAGTAATTAAATATTGCAGTTTAATCCGTCGTCAAAAATAGCACACAAACGGGTTAAATAACAACAAACACACCCCGCCCACCCACACCACCCCCGACCGATAGCAGATGGCAACCTAAAATATTATAAAATAACTTATTTTTCAAATTTTATTTTACAGTTAATTTTTTATTACGGATAAAAAGCACCGCACCCCCACACCCCGACCGCCTATAGTAACCCACCCATAGCTCTGTACCGGCCCCCCACACTCAAACCACCAACCAAAGCGTCCCCCTACGCCGACCCGACAAACCCCACAAGCGTCACACCCCAATAAAAAAAAAAAAGAAAAAAAAAAAAAAAAAAAAAAAAATTTTTGGATTAGGGGGAAAAAAAAAAAAAAAAAAAAACCAAAATGGGGGGGAAAACCCCCCACAAAATTTTCCCTTTACCCTTGTAATTTTTTCCCTTACCTTTTTCCCAGCCTTTTCCCCAAAACCCGGGTTTTCCCCCTTGGGGGGCCCCCAGGGCCCGCCTTCCCCCCCTGGGAAAAAATTTAAATTTATAAATTTTTATTATTTTAAAGGGAAAGCCCCCCGGAATTAAATATTCTTTTGGAAATTCACGTTTAAAACCCTTTAGTTTAAAAACCCCGGGAAAAAGGGAGCACCAAAAGGGGGCAGATTTTTTCCCCTTTTTTTGTCCGGGTTGGGAATTAAAAAACCAAATTTTTTTTTGGGGGGGGGCCCCCTGGGGTTTAAAAAAAAGCGTAAAATACTGTTTTTTCTGACCCTTTAAATAAATCCCAGTTTTAATTTATTCATTAATCCAAGGTTAACTCTTTTGTTTTAATAATGAATACATAACGTCTGTTTTTGTCCCAAAAAAAATTCAAAAAAAAAAAAGTTTTTCTTTAAAAAAACCCAGAATTTTAAGAAAAAAAAAACCCGCACGTAACTTTTTCACCACCAAAAACGAATATTTTTAAACCCCAAAAAATAGGTTTTAAAAGTGAACTCAAAATGTTGTATATGCGGGAAAAGACAAAAAAACTTCCCAGTAACTTTGGGGTGGGCGTTTTTCCCTGTAGCCTACTGCGAGTGAAAAAAAAATGGGAAATTTTTAAAATAAAAGATTTGCCCAACCCAAAACTTTTATATCATCAAAATTCTGAGCTCCATCTTTTTTTTCTTTACTAACTTGACACAAAGTACGAAATTAAAAATCATGTATTAAATTATGCATTGGGGTTTGGTATATTAAATTTAAAAAACCCTTTGGGGGCAAGCTACAGACAGATATGTAGGCTTTCCCTGAAACAAACAAAAGACACAATACCGTGCCCGGGGAAACAAAAAACAAAAAGCAACCCCACCTATAAAAACTTACGGCCCCAAAATCGTCGTAAGCTTTTCCTTTTCCTTTTCCCCCGGGGTTATTTGTGTATTGTCAAGTATTCAGTTTGAGCCCCTCGATTTAAAGAATTCCGCTTTCCTTTAGAGATTTGCTGGGTCTCTAACAAGGTCTTTCAACCTCATTTTAATAAAAGTCATGGGGCTATTTCTCTAAAAGGTTGTTCCAGAACCACAAAAAAGGGATCCCGGAAACCCCCGCCACTTCGCACCTTCCCTCACATACATTTCGTCTTCATAAAACCTAACCAATCCTCGGGAGGAAAGGGAACCAGACTGGGGCCCCGACGCCAGGTTCAGCAAAAAAACGACCCAAGGGTTCGTTCATCGCGGAGACCAATTTTACTTTTCATAGTACAAAGAAATACAGATGGAGGGCTTTTGGGTTTCCCCCCCCATATATATATATATATATTTTGGCCGAAGTTTTTTAAATTGTCCTAGCCAATAAACGTAATAACTGTAAAACAAGGGGGTGCGGATTACATGTACCGCCCACCCCCAAAATTTTAAAGTTGGTGTTTTTTTGGGGTTTTTAATGGGGCCCCACTGATAGCTTTAACCCTTTATTATCGGGGCCCTTCCAAAACCCGGGAAAAAAAAAACTTCGACTTAAGTGGAAGGATGTTGACTAATGGGGGCCTTTAAAGGAAATAACAGCAAAAATTTTTAAAAACCCCAAATTTTAAAGGGATTCATCGGGGAGGTTCCCCTTGTGAATTTTTGAAAATTTAAACCGCTTACGTAAAAGAAATTGCCGGGGGTGATTTTTTTGTCCTTATCTCAAAAAAATTAAAACGCGGGAAAAAGAAAAAAAAAAAAAAAAAATTTTTCCTGAAATCAGCACCCCCTCAAAATTATATTTTATTTATATAATATATATAAATAAATATATATATATATATAAATATATATATATAATATTTTATATATATATATATATATAAAAATATATATATTCTTTCCGAATATGTAAAACTGGCCAATTAGAAAAGAACTCTTTTTAAAAATTAAGTCCTTTCTGAAATTTTTCTCTTATACTTTTAAAAGAAAATTTTTTTTTTCCTTTTAAATTTTTTGAAAAAAAAAATAATTTTGCGCCAAAAGAATCTTAGAAAACTTCCAAACCTTATTATAACAAAAAAACAAAATTTTTTTTTTACCTAACCCAAAAAATATATTTTTAAATTTCGTTTTCAATAATTTAAATACTAAAAAAAACACAATCAAATATATTTTTTTTCGTTAGGTTTTAGAATGATTTTGGGCGAAATTTTTTGCATACAAAAAATTTTTTACTTTTCCTATATGGCAACAAAGGCGTTTCTATTTTAAAAACCCAAAATCGCAATTCTGCCTATTTGGCACACATATATATATTTTAATTTTTATTTTATATATAAAATATATATATATAAATATATATATAATATATATATTTTTTTTTTTTTTTTTTTTTTTTATTTTCACACCGGCCATTTCCCACCAAGGAGGGGGCCCGAAAAAGAAAAACTTTTCACCATCATTCCTCCATCACCGTCTTCCAAAGGGGGCTTTACACTACGTTTTTTAAAAAATGGGGAACCTTAACAAAAACCCCTTCAATGCAGGCACTGTACTTCCCCTCTCCAGGGCTCAAGTCCGGCCTGGCCCCGGGTTTCCCCCCGAAATTCCCTTTTATAAATGTTACTTTGCTCACACCCCCCAACAGCACGGGCAAGTAATTTAAAAAACCCTTTGGTTTTTTCCATTCACTCCTATCAAACAAAGCTCAAAGCATTTCCTGCTGGGAAATCCCCAAACCCCCGCACCCAAAACCCCTTTACCCCCTCCCTCCAACCCTTCCTAGGCCGGGCCCCCCACCCCGCCTTCCTTCCCAAAAGACTGATACACTCTTTTAAGTCATTCCCGTTTCCCTCCCTTCTCTCTACAAAAGTCCCCAACCACCCCCAACAAACCCTTTTCCCCAGCCCCCTGGGGCAACAGTTTTGGGAATCCCCCACCTTTCCTTTCCCAAAATTTCCCAAAAATTTCGAATTTCCCCCTGCATTAAAATTTAAACCCCAAAATTGCCCTCAACATGACATCTCCCCCTTTCCCCAGCCTTTTCCTCGCTGCAACATTCAAACAAACCCCCGCCTTTTACAAACCCCTATAAGACGTTGGTAAAACTATACCTCATACATTCCCCCCCTTTGCCTCCAAGGGCAAAGTTTTTTTGTCTCCCACAGACTCCCCCAAGTGCACCAAATCACTCTTTTTTTCCCTCATCAATTTCCCATGATTCACCTCATCTTTTTATTTGACCCACCCCCGACACGGGCCACTCCCAAAAAATCTGAATACTTTAACCCCCCCTCCATTTCTCTCCCCCCCCAATCTGATATTCAAAACTTTCATCACCTAATCTTTTTTTTATCCTAAAACCTTAAATCTTTCCTTTTATTCCCCCCTTTAATTTCCTTCTTTTGCACACCCTACCCAAATTTATCCACCAATCTCTGCAACTTTTCTTTCAGAATCTCCCAAGAGCAAAAGTGTCAAAACAGCAAAGAGAGCTGTGACAACTCCCACTTTGTGTGTGATTCTTTTAAAAATTTTTTTTCCCACGCCTCTTGCCAAGGGGGGGAAACACCTGGCCCACATCCCCCCCAAACCTTTCCTAAAGCCCCCCTTGTTCATCTGCTATCCTTTTAATCCGTCTTACTCTTAATTCTTTCAATTATAACTCTACCTTCACTTTTACCAGGTACAACTCAACAATTTTTCCCCCTATAATTTTTGCACTCTCTTTTACCCCCTTTCCCTTTTTACAAAGGGAACCCATGGGAAGCCCCTCTGCCCAAACCCTTGGGCCCCTTTCCCTCTTCCCCTAAACCCAAAAAATTAAATAATTGCACCAAACCCTCCAAAAAAAAAATTCCCCCCCTGCCTTTTTTAACCTTTTTTATCTTTATCCCATCAATCCGGCTGGCCTTAACCCCCCTTTTATTTTACCTACTGCCTCCCCCGAACCCTTTCCCCCCCAAAATCACAATGGCTCTTTCCCCACTCCTACAAAAATTTTTTCCCCCCTTGCCCCAAAACACGAAATAAAAGCTTCCCCCATCTTTATCAAAATTTTAAAAATTCCTCAAATATTCCTTTCCCATCTTCCCCAAAACCTTTTTAACTCCCATTTAATAACTCTCCTCTCCTAATTTTTTAAAATGACAAATCCATTTTTTTCTCCCAGGCTTTCTTAAACTTGTTTTTAAACTCACTCCAAAAATTTTTCTTATTTTCAACAAAAAATTTTTTGATAACAAACTCACCCACTCTCTCTTTGTCTCCCTTTTTTCATTTTCTTTACCACCCCCTTTTTAAAAATTTTTTCTTTTTTCCATATCTCTTTTCCCTCCTTGCATCACTTCTACTTTGTAAAAAAATTCTAGGCAACTTTTTCCCTTACTACTCTTTTACATCTCTTCCCAAACCCAATCGCCCCTTTCCCCCCTGCACCCACTTTCCTGTAACCACAAATTCTGCTGAGCACTCTAACAAAATTTTTTAAAAACCTACCCCATCCTCTTCCCCCCCCTTTTGCCTATGCTCTCATTAGCCCATCTATCCCCAAATAGCTGTTTATCTTACCCAAAACTGCCTCCTCTTTTAGTTTAAAACCTTCACCTTCTCTTCCTGATGCTCTTTCCCCTTTGTTCCCATTACCTTTTATCTCAGTGTAGACAATAGAAGTGATTGATAATCTGGGGCCCCTCTTAAAAATGTACCCCTAAAGTCTACCAACAGTCTTTTTTCTACCAAAAATAATCCAAACAAAACTGTCATTTCCCCCTAATCATATCGTGTATAACTTATTTTCCTTTTTTTTTTTAAAAAAGTTTTACCTAAATAAACCCTTTCTATCAAAGTTCATCAAAGGGCTCCCATTATCATTTACACCTGGCACCCCAAATTTACCTACCACACCCTCTCTAAAAGTTTCTCCTACTTTAGCATTCAAGCCCCCTACCACAATTACTCTCTCACTTGGTTCAAATGCCCCTATACATTCACTTAACATCTCCCAAAATCTCTCTCTCTCCTCTGCATTCCCTCTCTTCTCCAGGTGCATACACGCTTATTTGACCCACTTCTCGCATCCAAACCCTTTTATTTTAAATCCACATAATTCTTGAATTTACACATTCATATTCTCTTTTCTCCTTCCATAACTGATCATTTAACATTACTGCTACCCCTTCCTTTGCTCTAACTCTCTAGATACTCCAGATTTAATCCCATTTATTTCCCCCCACTGAAACTCTCTACCCCCTTCACTTTGTTTCGCTTAGGGCCCGGACATCCAACTTTTTTTCATTCATAACTTTCAGCAATCATCGTTTCTTGCCCATCCGCACTACATCCACGCACATTTAAGCAACCCAGTTTTAAAAAGTTTTTCTTCTTCTCTTTTTTAGTAATTGTATACAGGAGAAGGGGTTAACTACCCCATTGCTCCCGGCATTTTAGTCGCCTCATACGACACGCATGGCTTACGGAGGAAAGATTCTTTTCCACTTCCCCATGGACAATAGAAGAAATAAAAAAGAACAAGAGCTATTTAGAAAAAGGAGAAAAACCTAGATGTATGTATATATATATATGCATGTGCGTGTCTGTGAAGTGTGACCAAAGTGTAAGTAGGAGTAGCAAGATATCCCTGTTATCTTAGCGTGTTTATGAGACAGAAAAGAAACCCCAAATCCTACCATCATGCAAAACTTACGGTTTTTTTTTTCACAGTATCTGGCAGGACGGTAGTACTTCCCGGGTGGTTGCTGTCTACCAACCTACTATAATATAAAAATATATACAAGGGAATATGTGTGAAGGTAGGAACTTTAAACTGTTCCAAGAGACACAAGTCGCATTTAAATGCATATATATGTGTGAAATTTTACCAACTTTTTTAAAGGGAGGACTGATAAATTAGACACATGTGCAACTCTTGGGCATCTTTATTGAGGAAACGTTTCGCCACACAGTGGCTTCATCAGTCCATACAAAGGAGAATCGTGAAGAACAGGATAAGAATGAGGTAATCAGTCCCTCAACCTAATTTATCAACGTGTCGGTTCTCTGAACCATTCATCTACAAAGGGAGCACTGAACACTTTGGCTACTCCACTCTAATGCTGCATCTTGGCTTTGGCCCTTAGCTACTACTACTGTTACTACTACCACTACTACTACAACTACGACTACTACTACTACCGCCTTCTTCCCGCTCCCTCTTGCCAACCTGTCTTTTGGTCTTCTCTGTTTTTTCTTGCTCATTTGTGACTTGATAATAGTCCAGGACGGATCAAAGTGTTCTCTACAGTTACCTCGCGTAAGTAAATGTTCTGTGTAAGCTGCTCCAGCTATTGTACTTTAACTTTTATTTAGCATTCTTCTTTCTTCTTCTTCTTCTTCTTCTTCTTTCAATTAATAATAATAATAATAATAATAATAATAATAATAATAATAATACCTCGTCATGTTCGTCCCCTCCCCAAAAAAAAATCACAGATAATGACAAACATTCTTCTTGCAGAAAATGAACTTGAGGAGCTGGAGGGAATCTTCGTCACACGGCCGCCCTTGGCCTTCCCGACGTCCAATGGCGCCACCACCATCAGCAGGCTGGAGCCAACGGCTTCCATCCTTTCAACCTCCCCTCTTCCCACGGGGGCAGAAACTACTAACTCAACGACCCCCATCAGGTCCACGACGCCTGCCACCAGCACTACTTTGTCTCCTGCTTCTGTTGTCACCGTGACTTCGTCGGTGATAGCCTCAGCAACAGCGGCTCCTGAAGGAAGAGATGCGGAGACCATACAAAAGGGCGTTTTCATCCCTCTGTTTGCCACTCTTTCCCCAGCCGACAGATCACATACCCCATCTACGCCTTCGTACAACTACGATTCAAGACCTTGTCGAAGAAAACTAAATAGAGGAAAAGGAAAACGAAGACGTAAGAAAGGCAGGAAGAATAGGAAGGGTAACAAAGAAAGGCGAAGAGGAAATATAAACAGAAGAAAAAACTGCGAGAACAGTCAAAGAAGCGAAAGCAAAGGTCATAGAAAGCGAAATTTGCGTCGAGGCAGACACAGAGGTAACAGAAGAGGCTGCAGGTCGCGGAAACAGAGAAAATGCAGAGACTCTGTTGTTGACAAGAACAGTGAAGGAAGAGAAGGCGAAACCACAGTGGCTGTGAGTGAGGAACGATCCATAACGACGACAGAAAACAAGCATAAACACTCTGAAAATATGATTTGTACGGAAAACAGGAGAAGGTGAAGGTGTCATTGCTGGAAGAGCCACCAGGCCAGCTCCACGGCCAAGAGAAACGAGAAACCCATCTCATGAAGAGCAGAAAGTTCTTTTACAGAATCGCCCGCGAGCCATGGTGGAGTTCAAACGATCACAGAGAAGAAGAGAACAAAGCCAGCTTACGTTAATGGCCACCGTGTGAGGCACGGAAACCCGCGTCATGGCCAATAAATCACTTTTTCCAAATAAAGGTAATGTGTATCCCAAAATAATCAAACCAAAGATAAATTGGACACCAAGTGAAGCAGGTGGGAAGAGGTGACTTTGACTATATATACATAGAAGGGTTAGCCTTGTTGTATATTCTATGATGACAAGCACTGGTTAGCTGCTTGCCACATAAAATTATTGTAGTGACGCCACAAGATTCATCATCAAACTGGATATACCAACGTCCAGTGTTCTCAGAAGCTACATAGCAGGTTATAATGAGGGCCAATATGTAGATACGCATCAATATGTAGATATGTGGAATACTGATTTAGTGAATGTGTCGGTTATGAAGTGACAAAAGAAACCCCATAGTTTATCACTGTTATATTTCCTTTGTGTAACGGCTTCATGTTGAAAATATGACAATATACAGAGTGACCACAAAAAAAAATCTCCTTGATTTTAAACAGATATAACATGTAACTTTATTGTAATAATCTTTCACAGTTAGTAGCTTCAGATGCTGGATTTCATTCAGTTTCCTGTGGTATAAGGTAGCATTAAAGGCACTCAATGTGCGCCCCTCGGGTTGCTTGGTAAACATCGAACTGATAGTCCAGTTCGGTGCAGACGCTCTGCAGCATATCTGGTGTTATGAGAACTGCATCAGTGATCGAAATTTTCAGCTCCTCCAGGGTTGCAGGTAGTGGTGGTACGTAAACTGGGCTCTTCACGTACCCCCAAAGAAAGAAGTCACAAACAGTTAAGTCCGGTGACCTCTGCAAGTGGCCTGCGACTATCACATCGATGTTTGCCGAGCAACCAGAGGGCGCCCATTGAGTGCCTTTAATACTACCCTATACCTGCATCTGAAGCTATTAACTGTGAAACATTATTACAATAGTTATATATATATATATATATATATATATATATATATATATATATATATATATATATATATATATATATATATATATCTTTCTTTCAACACACCGGCCGTATCCCACCGAGGCGGGGTGGCCCAAAAGGAAAAACGAAAGTTTCTCCTTTTACATTTAGTAATATATACAGGAGAAGGGGTTACTAGTTCCTAGCTCCCGGCATTTTAGTCGCCTCTTACAACACGCATGGCTTACGGAGGAAGAATTCTGTTCCACTTCCCCATGGAGGTAAGAGGAAATAAACAAGAACAAGAACTAGAAAGAAAATAGAAGAAACCCCAAAGGGGTGTGTATATATATGCTTGTACATGTATATGTAGTGTGACCTAAGTGTAAGTAGAAGTAGCAAGACATACCTGAAATCTTGCATGTGTATGAGACCGATAAAAAAAAGACACCAGCAATCTTACCATCGTGTAAAACAATTACAGGCTTCAGCTTTACACTCACTTGGCAGGACGGTAGTACCTCCCTGGGCGGTTGCTGTCTACCAACCTACTACCTATAGTATATATATTATATATATATATATATATATATATATATATATATATATATATATATATATATATATATATATATACCTGGAGAGGGTTACGGGGGTCAACGCCCCTGCGGCCCAGTCTGTGACCAGGTCTCATGGTGGATCAAGGCCTGATCAACCAGCCTGTTACTGTTGGCCGCAGGCAACCCGACCTACGAACCACAGCCCGGCTGGTCAGGTATTGGCTTTAGGTGCCTGTCCGGTGCCTTCTTGAAGACAGCCAGGGATCTATTGGTAATCCTCCTTATGTATGCTGGGAGGCACTTAAATAGTGTTGGGCCCCTGACACTTATTGTGTTGTCTCTTATCGTGCTAGTGGCGCTCCTGCTTTTCATTGGGGGGATGTTGCATCGTCTGCCGAGTCTTTGCAACATCCCCCCAATGAAAAGCAGGGGCGCCACTAGCACGATAAGAGACAACACAATAAGTGTCAGGGGCCCAAGACTGTTGAACTACATCCCAGCATACATAAGGGGTCTTCAAGCAGGCACTGGACAGGCACCTAAAGTCAGTACCTGACCAACCGGGCTGTGGTTCGTACGTCGGATTGCGTGCGGCCAACGGTAACAACCTGGTTGATCAGACCCTGATCCACCATGATGACTAGTCAAAGACTGGGTCCTGGGGGCGTTGACCCCCGGAACTCTGTGCCTGACTTGTTCATACATATGATTTAAATATTGCTCCTGATTAGTTTCTGTACCTGATTAGCTCCTGCACCTCATTAGCTCCTGCACCTGATTAGTTCCTGCACCTGATTAGCTCCTGCACCTGATTAGTTCCTGCACCTGATTAGCTCCTGCACCTGATTAGCTCCTGCACCTGATTAGTTCCTGCACCTGATTAGCTCCTGCACCTGATTAGTTCCTACACCTGATTAGCTCCTGCGCCTGATTAGCTCCTGCACCTGATTATCTCCTGCATCTAATTAGCTCCCGCACCTGATTAACTTCTTCACCTGATTTGCTGCTTCACCTGATTAGCTCTTGCATCTGATTAGCTCCTGCACCTGACTAGCTCCTTCACCTGATTAGCTCCTGCACCTGATTAGCTTCTTCACCTGATTAGCTCCTGCACCTGATCAGCTCCTGCACCTGATTAGTTCCTGCGCCTGATTAGCTCCTGCACCTGCTTAGCTAATGAACCTGGTTAGCTAATGCACCTGATTAGCTTCTTCACCTGATTAATTCCTGCACCTGATTAGCTTATGCACCTGATTAGTTCCTGTACCTGATTAGTTCCTGCTCCTGATTAGCTCCTGCACCTGATTAACTCTTGCACCTGGTTAGCTCCTGTACCTGATTAGCTCCTGCATCTGATTAGCTCCTGCACCTGATTAACTTCTTCACCTGATTAGCTTCTTCACCTGATTAGCTCCTGCCCCTGATTAGCATCTGCACCTGATTAGTTGCTGCCCCTGATTAGCTTTTGCACCTGATTAGCTCCTGCACCTGTTCAGAGCCTGCACCTGAATAGCTTCTGCACCTGATTAGCTCCTGCACATGATTAGTTCCTGTACTTGATTAGCTCCTGCACCTGATTTGCTGCTGCACCTGATTAGTTGCTGCGCCTGATTAGCTTCTGCACATGATTAGCTCCTGCACCTGATTAGCTTTTCCATCTGATAAACTCCTGCACCTGATTAGCTCCTGCACCTGATTAGATAGTGCACCTGATTAGTTCCTGTACCTGATTAGCTCCTGTACCTGATTTGCTGCTGCACCTGATTAGCTCCTTCACTTGATTACCTCCTGCACATGGTTAGTTCCTGCACCTGATTAGTTCCTACACCTGATTAGCTCCTGCACCTGATTAGCTCCTGCACCTGATTAGCTCCTGCACCTGATTAGCTCCTGCACCTGATTAGTTCCTGCACCTGATTAGCTCCTGCACCTGATTAGTTCCTGCACCTGATTAGCTCCTGCACCTGATTAGTTCCTACACCTGATTAGCTCCTGCACCTGATTAGCTCCTGCACCTGATTATCTCCTGCACCTGATTAGCTCCCGCACCTGATTAACTTCTTCACCTGATTTGCTGCTTCACCTGATTAGCACTTGCATCTGATTAGCTCCTGCACCTGACTAGCTCCTTCACCTGATTAGCTCCTGCACCTGATTAGCTTCTTCACCTAATTAGCTCCTGCACCTGATCAGCTCCTGCACCTGATTAGTTCCTGCGCCTGATTAGCTCCTGCACCTGATTAGCTAATGCACCTGATTAGCTTCTTCACCTGATTAACCCCTGCACCTGATTAGCTTATGCACCTGATTAGTTCCTGTACCTGATTAGCTCCTGCTCCTGATTAGCTCCTGCACCTGATTAACTCTTGCACCTGGTTAGCTCCTGTACCTGATTAGCTCCTGCACCTGATTAACTTCTTCACCTGATTAGCTTCTTCGCCTGATTAGCTCCTGCATCTGATTAGCTCCTGTACCTGATTAGCTTCTTCACTTGATTAGCTCCTGCCCCTGATTAGCTTCTGCACCTGATTAGTTGCTGCCCCTGATTAGCTTTTGCACCTGATTAGCTCCTGCACCTGATCAGAGCCTGCACCTGATTAGCTTCTGCACCTGATTAGCTCCTGCACATGATTAGTTCCTGTACTTGATTAGCTCCTGCACCTGATTAGCTTCTGCACCTGATTAGTTCCCGCATTGATTAGCTCCAAACCCGATTTTCTGCTGCACCTGATTTGTTCTGCGTCTGATTTGCTTCTGCGCATGATTTCTCCGCACCCCGATTAGCTTTTTCCCTCTATAAACCCTGACCGACTAGCTCCGCACCCCATTAGCTCCTGCACCTGTTAGCTAGTCCCTGATTAGTTCCTTAACCTGATTACTCCCGCACTGATTAGTTCCTGCACCTGTTTACTCCTGCACCTGATTAGTTTCTGAACCTGATTAGTTCCTGTACCTGATTAGCTCCTGTACCAGATTTGCTGCTGCACCTGATTAGCTCCTTCACTTGATTAGCTCCTGCACATGGTTAGTTCCTGCACCTGATTAGCTTCTTTAACTGATGAGCTCCTGCACCTGATTAGCTCCTTTACCTGATTAATTCCTGCACTTGATTAGCTCCTGCACCTGATTAGCTCCTCCGCTTGATTAGTTCTTGCACCTGATTAGCTCCTGTACCTGATTTGCTGCCTCACCTGATTAGCTTCTTGACCTGATGAGCTCCTGCACCTGATTAGCTCCTTCACTTGATTAGCTCCTGCACCTGATTAGCTTCTTGACCTGATGAGCTCCTGCACCTGATTAGCTCCTTTGCCTGATTAATTCCTGTACCTGATTAGCTCCTGCACTTGATTAGCTCCTGCACATGAATAGCTTCTGCACCTGATTAGTTCCTGCACATGATTAGCTCCTGCACCTGATTAGTTCCTGCACCGGCCTGATTAGTTCCCGCACCTGATTAGCTCCTCCGCCTGATTAGTTCTTGCACCTGATTAGCTCCTGCACTTGATTAGCTCCTGCACATGATTAGCTTCTGCACCTGATTAGTTCCTGCACATGATTAGCTCCTGCACCTGATTAGTTCCTGCACCGGCCTGATTAGTTCCCGCACCTGATTAGCTCCTCCGCCTGATTAGTTCTTGCACCTGATTAGCTCCTTCACTTGATTAGCTCCTGCACCTGATTAGCTTCTTGACCTGATGAGCTCCTGCACCTGATTAGCTCCTTTGCCTGATTAATTCCTGTACCTGATTAGCTCCTGCACCTGATTAGCTCCTTCACTTGATTAGCTCCTGCACATGATTAGCTCCTGCACCTGATTAGCTCCTGCACCTGATTAGCTCCTGCACCTGATTAGCTTCTTCACCTGATGAGCTCCTGCACCTGTTTAGCTCCTTTACCTGATTAGTTCCTGCGTTGATTAGCTTCTGCACCTGATTTAGTTCCTTCACTTGATCAGCTTCTGCACCTGATTAGCTTCTGCACCTGATTAGTTCCTTCACTTGATCAGCTTCTGCACCTGATTAGCTTCTGCACCTGATTAGCTCCTCCACCTGATGAGTTCGTGCATCTGATTAGCTTGTCCACCTGATGAGCTCCTGCACCTGATTAGCTCCTTTGCCTGATTAGTTCCTGTACCTGATTAGCTCCTGCACTTGATTAGTTCCTGCACCTGATTAGCTTCTGCACCTGATTAACTTCTGCACCTGATTAGTTCCTGCACCTGATTAGCTCCTGCACCTGATTTGCTGCTGCATCTGATTAGCTTCTGCACCTGATTTGCTGCTGCACCTGATTAGCTCCTGCGCCTGATTTGTTGCTGCTCCTGATTAGCTCATCCACCTGATGAGTGTCGTGCACCTGATTAGCTCCTGCATCCGTCATAGCCTTTGCACCTCAAAATTCGATTGGTAATTCTCAGAAAAATAATTCTATGAAAATTTCTCCAATATTATTTAACCCCCATTGCTAATTACACTGAAACTACCAATGTTACTAATTAAGGTAATAATTACTTTACCTCGTTCTAGAATGAGAACATTCTTACTTAGACTATACACAAACATAAACAAATAACCCGCACATAGGAGAGAGAAGCTTAAGATGACGTTTCGGTCCGACTTGGACCATTTACAAAGCCATACTAACGCAAAAGAGTGAGGGAACCAGTAAATAAAGGCGAGGGGATGGGGACGGGACCAAGAGAGGAAAGAAAAAGTAGTGGATGACAAAGCTATAGTGGAGTAATTAGTAGGAGTAGAAGTTATAGTGGTAGTGACAAGGCTAGTAGTGGAAGTAGTAGTAGTAGTAGTAATAGTAGTAGTAGTAGTGGTAGTGACAAGGCTAGTAGTGGAAGTAGTAGTAGTAGTAGTGGTAGTGACAAGGCCAGTAGTGGAAGTAGCAGTAGTAGTAGCAATAGTAGCAATAGTAGTAGTGGTGGTAGTGACAAGGCTAGTAGTGGAAGTAGTAGTAGTAGTAGTAATAGTAGTAGTAGTAGTAATAGTAGTAGTAGTAGTGGTAGTGACAAGGCTAGTAGTGGAAGTAGTAGTAGTAGTAGTAGTAGTAGTGGTAGTGACAAGGCTAGTAGTGGAAGTAGCAGTAGTAGTAGCAATAGTAGCAATAGTGGTAGTGGTGGTAGTGACAAGGCTAGTAGTGGAAGTAGTAGTAGTAGTAGTAGCAGCAGTAGTACTAAGAGTAGTAGTAGTAGTGACAAGGCTAGTAGTGGAAGTAAGTAGTAGTAGTAGTAGCAGCAGTAGTACTAAGAGTAGTAGTAGTAGTGACAAGGCTAGTAGTGGAAGTAGTATTAGTAGTAGTAGTAGTGGTAGTAGTAAAACGGGAGTGAAGGTAGGCAATAGTAATGGTAGTAGCAGAAATGGAGTAGTAGTAGTAGTAGCAGTAGTTGTAGAAGCGGAGTCAGTCGTAAGTTTGTTTCTGCTATTTGCGGGTTATTTGTGTTTGGTTCCAGTCACGTTATTGTGAGTTTTTGTTCTGTTATAGACTATCATATTCTCTCCACACAATGATAGCTACAGTGTCAATAACACCATCATATTCACCGGACGATCGTCTCTACGTTCCCTAGCGCCTTGTATGGTATTGTAGGAATATCACTTTGTTAATAATCGGTATTTCTGTCAGTGTATACCCGTAAACGTATAACTGTCAATATCTACCTATCAATGCATAACTGTCCATGTATAATGTATATGCACAATGTATAATGATGCCTGTTAATGTATAGCTCGGTTGTCTGTCACAGTATATTTGTACTGCTGTAGCACCTCACTCTGGAAAAAATATATTTTCTTTACGGTATATACAGTCGTATGTTCTATAGTGATATGTACAGTTATATACACTAGAAATCTATTACTCTGAATTTTCACCCTATATATTATATACATTATTATAGTATTGGGGAAGCGCTGAAGCCATTGGGGCAACATAGAGCCCGGAGAAATGGAGGGTTTGATCCGAGGAGAGGGAGGGTAGCTAGGTCTCCTTAGATCAAGAGCCCTTCACCAGTATTACAGCAACGTTTATTTACAAAATTATTAATATATATATATATATATATACGTATATATATATATATATATTATAATATATATATATATATATATATATATATATATATATATTATATATATATATATATATATATATAATATATATATATATATATATATATATATATATATATACTGGCTGAGTGGTTTAAGTTTTGTGTATTTTGAAGCAGAGTGGGCAGGTTCGAGTCCTGCTGTGGACTGGGACATAATGTTTGTAAATCTAAACATTTTATTTACTAAATATTCCCGAAATTTTGTAATTTGAAATAGGCAGTGTTAGTGAGTGTATATGTTCAGGTTTCTTCTCACACTGTCACCTGTGTATGTCACCTGCAAGAAAATAAACATCCCTGTTAGTTTATATTTTAATTCAATATTTATGCTGCTATGCAGATGGTAGACACCCGCTGGAAAGAGAGAGAGAGAGAGAGAGAGAGAGAGAGAGAGAGAGAGAGAGAGAACTGGGAACTGATTGGGCATATTATATACAGCAACTTCAAATCACCTTGAATCCATACCTGTTAAGAAAATTGTCCTTGCCTAATTCATGTATAAAATTCCTTTTTACTGTATATTTGAACATTTCCTGTCATATCTGCAGCATCACAGCACCGCAGTGGTCACCAGGAGGTGTGAGTACTTCCATGATGCCGGCAACACTGCAGAACTTTTCACCGAGGAGGCTGACGAATGTACAAACATTGATCTGAAGAGGATTTTGCTGAAAGCAGCGATGCGCTTAGCTTTATGCAAATAAAAGAACATTTCAGATGGTTGATCGTGGAAGTTGGGATAAATTAAGAAAAGGATTTAGAAGGGGAGCTTAACTTAGGGGAAAAAATTAAAAGAGTTAGGGCTTAGGATTTAACCCAGCTGCTAGGCGTTCTGGGTCTCATATGATTTTGTTGGAAGAATGCACACAACCCGCACACGGAAGAGAGAAACTTACGATGACGTCTCGGTCCGAATTGGACCATTTACAGTCACACTGTGACTTTGTAATTGGTCCAAGTGCGGCTTCTTAAATTTTCAAAGTCGAACAGAAGAGTCGTCGACGCTTCTCTCTCCTTCGAGGAGAGAGAAGCTTGAACTATAAACTATGGCTATAAGCTCCTCTCTCCTATATGCGGGTTATTTGTGCATTGTTTCAGTCACTTTATTGTGTTTTTGTGTTCTTCTTAGTTGGAAGACTGTCATGATTTGGTCCGGACGGCAGCAGTCGTCGAGAGAAAAGAAGGTTGTCTTCTGTTGTAACGCGTGGCACTCGTACATGAATCGTATATAATACCGACAAGATGAAGAGTTGAACACATGTGCAGAACCTGGGTAGCTTTATGGTAAACGTTTCGCCATCCAGTGGCTTTATCAGTACAGATTCAAGGAGATAATATGAAGACTGTAGAACTATATACAAAAGATGAGGTAATCAGTCCCTCAGCCTTGGAGTTGGTAAAGAGCACCGTAGTCTTCAAGGCTACGGTGCTCTTCACCAACTCCAAGGCTGAGGGACTGATTACCTCATCTTTTGTATATAGTTTTACTGTCTTCACATTATGTTCTCGAATTTGTATTGATAAAGCCACTGGATACCGAGAGGTATCACCAGACTTCCAAAATACTTATAATATTAATTTATAAAGGGGTGAAGGGGTAAGCCAGTGGAAGTCCTCGGTCAGATGACCTAAAACTCCAGCTTCTGGTCATCATGTGACAAAAGACTCGCGTCAGGAAATACTTGGCCTCTTTCCTGGCGAATCATACCTAACTTAACTTAATCTAACTTAGCCTAAACTAACTTAACATAGCCTAAACTAACTTAACCTAGCCTAAACTAACTTAACCTAGCCTAAACTAACTTAACCTAGCCTAAACTAACTTAACATAGCCTAAACTAACTTAACCTAGCCTAAACTAACTTAACCTAGCCTAAACTACCCTAACTTACAAGGACTTCCAGTAACTAGTGTTAGTTACGAAGGATTATTGTAAAATGTTCATTGTATTCTTAACACTTTAAAACATTGTCACTGAGATTACTGAATAAATCACTGGTGAACCAGCAGTCACTGCTACCATGATCCACCACAGTGACTCACCACTAAACCTATCACTGGTGAACCAGCAGTCACTGCTACCATGATCCACCACAGTGACTCACCACTAAACCTATCACTGGTGAACCAGCAGTCACTGCTACCATGATCCACCACAGTGACTCACCACTAAACCTATCACTGGTGAACCAGCAGTCACTGCTACCATGATCCACCACAGTGACTCACCACTAAACCTATCACTGGTGAACCAGCAGTCACTGCTACCATGATCCACCACAGTGACTCACCACTAAACCTATCACTGGTGAACCAGCAGTCACTGCTACCATGATCCACCAGTGACTCACCACTAAACCTATCACTGGTGAACCAGCAGTCACTGCTACCATGATCCACCACAGTGACTCACCACTAAACCTATCACTGGTGAACCAGCAGTCACTGCTACCATGATCCACCACAGTGACTCACCACTAAACCTATCACTGGTGAACCAGCAGTCACTGCTACCATGATCCACCACAGTGACTCACCACTAAACCTATCACTGGTGAACCAGCAGTCACTGCTACCATGATCCACCACAGTGACTCACCACTAAACCTATCACTGGTGAACCAGCAGTCACTGCTACCATGATCCACCACAGTGACTCACCACTAAATCCATCATATTTTATAACAGACAATTTTTAGAGGATCTTTCCCTAACAAATAAGCAACATTAAGAAACAATATAAACAACTTTTATTAGGTGTAAAAAATGACAAAACGAAAGTAATCAAAATGTTTCCTCCGTGGGTCTGAAAATATTACAATCATAGATTCGTCGCTTCTGGTTTTAATATATATATATATATATATATATATTATAATATATATAATATATAATATATATATATATATATATATAATATATATCAAAGTAACTTGATAAGCACACAAACACTGAAAAAAAAATTTAAAAACATTTAATGAATTCTTCATCTGACATATTTTTGTTAAGTGACACAAAAACTGATCCTTAAAATGCCGCTAAGTAACCTGCTTGCTTGAAGGTATTACCCTGCTTTAAATAATACACACTGCTTGAAATAATACCATGCTTGTAATATACCACTGCTTGTAAATAATACACACTGCTTGTAAATAATACACACTGCTTGTAAATAATACACACTGCTTGTAAATAATACACACTGCTTGTAAATAATACACACTGCTTGTAAATAATACACACTGCTTGTAAATAATACACACTGCTTGTAAATAATACACACTGCTTGAAGATAATACACACTGCTTGTAAATAATCACACTACTTGTAAATAATACACACTGCTTGTAAATAATACACACTGCTTGAAATAATACACACTGCTTGTAAATAATACACACTACTTGTAAATAATACACACTGCTTGTAAATAATACACACTGCTTGTAAATAATACACATGCTTGTAAATAATACACACTGCTTGTAAATAATACATACTGCTTGTAAATAATACACACTGCTTGTAAATAATACACACTGCTTGTAAATAACAACACATGCTTGTAAATAATACACACTGCTTGTAAATA